TGCCCAGTTATCGCGTTCGTTTATTCATAAGATCGGAAGAGGGAAGCGCTTCGCGAGCGACGCGTTTTGCCGCTGGCGTGCATAACCACCGGTAACAGTGTTATAACACGTGCTCGTTCTAATTACAGCGCCGAACTTCGTCAGCTCCATGGCCCAGGGAGACTTTGTCTACTTCTTCTTCCGGGAGACTGCCGTGGAATATATCAATTGCGGCAAGGTAAGTGGCAAGCCGTGCACGCTTTCGATCGCGCGCTCGATCGATTTCGCTGGCTGCCGGGTGGTGCTCGAACGAAATTCCTCGGCGACCAGCGAGTAATCGGCGAGGAAAATTCTCCGCGGCAGAACGCGCGGTGATTCGTGACCACGTGGTCGTGCGACCTCGTGTCCTCTGCTCGAATTTATCGGCGGAAATAGCAGCGTCGAGCCTCTGTAATTTCCACGAGAACATGCCTCATGCGTTGGTGCATTCGCTCGTTAATTGAAACGTAATATCCTGGTTCCTGATTTTATTTATTTACACGTTATTACACGGGAACAGGCCGTTCGTATGCAGTTAATCATTACATTACCAATATTCGCAATTTTACGTACATTTTTTGTAACGAAATAACGCGAGCTTTTGGATAAATTAACGCTGGAGCAGTCAGACCAGACTTCCTTTTTTTATCATTGCTCGAAAGATACGGATATTTTTGTCAAAATTAATATCGATTCCTGTTTGAGACAGAAACGTATTTTGATTATTATTATTTTAATTCGTATAAAGGAGTTGGATAAATTAACAATGTGACGAAATTTCAGATTCAATTGCTTGAAACACTCTTGTGGGTATTAATTTAGACAGAGACACGATCGTTTTATTTTAATTATTGTCACAATGTAAACTATTGCCATGATTTATGTAAAGATCCGTCGTTCCAGTGTTAAAATTAAGCTAAACATAATTACAAATATTGTTAAATTAAAAAAATAGTCTTACGTTCACTCTCTTTTCCTTTTGCAGACCGTCTACTCTCGCGTGGCGAGAGTCTGTAAATATGATCGAGGTGGTCCGCATCGATATCGTAACAGATGGACTTCGTTCCTAAAGTCTCGTCTGAATTGCTCCGTCACCGGAGACTTTCCTTTCTACTTCAATGAGATACGTAAGTACGATTAATCCTTTCTCGTACGATTGACATCTTAGCCGGAGAACATTTCCTTGAAACTATGTTGAACGACTATATTTGTAGAGTGGGTAATTGTTTTCAAACGATGATGACTTTCGTAATATAATGTACGCTGTCGTCAAAAGTTTGGGTACACGTTCTGCGTGTGAAATGCACATGTACATCAAGAGTGATTTCTTTGGTTAAATGAACATCTCTGTTACTCTCTGTATATCTTGAAAAATTTATAGGAATTAATATGTAGCGAAATATTAAGCTTCTTGGAATGCCTAGTTTTAAACTAAAATTATTTCTCCCAGCCTTTCACTTCACTTGTTCATCTCTTGAGAAATTTCTTTTTCCCTTTGTAACGCTTTATGTGCAAAATATCAAATTAAAATTACATTGAATACTAGAACCAAATATTTAAAAAAAAAAATATATATATATATATGTTTTAATAATATCCATATATAGATTCGAGGAGAACAGTATAGGATTAACCAAGATTCCTACAAATTCTGCTCCTCCTAAGAACGCTTAGTAATCCTAGATAATACACAGAGAGATTAAGCCAAATGCGAAATACAAATACAGTAAAAGTACAATACCCAAACATTTGTTCTTTCGCTCGTTCAAATAAAATTGTTTCTTCGATACGACGAGGAAAAATCCTGTCTTATTCGGTTAAGAAGTGAACGCGATCGATCTTGGCATATCTTGCCCTTGTACGTTCCGCGCAGCATTCACCCCGAGAGGAATCGAAACCTCCGGAATATCTATGCTCCCTCTTTTTTTTTTTTTTTTTTTTTTTGATCGGACATCAGCCGCAGCATCGTTGATATTAAACGGCGGCGTTCACAACGGCCGGGCGCAGTTTCGTGAAATAAATTCTCCAACGGATTCGCCGGCACGCTCGTAAACGTCCGCGGGCACGAGCGAGGTCGCGCGAACAAAAGAGCCCCGGGGAATTACAGCGCGCTATATTTGCAGAATCAACGACGGAACTGATATCGGGCCAGTACGGCAATAAGTCGGCGCAGCTGATTTACGGCACGTTCACCACGCCGGTGAACAGCATCAGCGGCTCGGCCGTATGCGCCTTCTCCTTGCAGGACATCACCGACACGTTCAAGGGCAACTTCAAGGAACAGAGCGCCATCAACTCGAACTGGCTGCCGGTGCAGAGCACCAAGGTGCCGGACCCGAGGCCTGGCCAGTGCGTCAACGACTCTAGATCTCTGCCGGATCTCACTCTCAATTTTATCAACACGCACTCGCTTATGGACGAGTTGGTGCCGAGCTTCTTCGGCCAGCCCATCGTCATTCGCACCAGTTTCCAGTGAGTCGCGATTTTTAATGTTATTGTAGTTTTCAGAATGATTGAAATCTTTTGTGACTACGATTCACTGGTTTGCCTTTGAAACTAGTGGGATCAGTCAGTGGAGACGGTGATAATTGTCTGGCATCGTCGAGTCGTAAACTGTCGTTAGAATTCAGGATTTTTAATTAGTCTATCTAAGCGTTTTTAAATTTAATTTGTAAATTTTTATAGTCATCTCAGAATATTAATTGAGGATAACGCATTTGTTATTAACACATTAATAACCGGAGATTAATTATCAATACGTATTTAATTACCAGAATGTTATTGACTCGGAGACGTTTATTTATACATTTTTAAAGATTAGTACAGTTTTGGACAGCTACAAAAATCAAACTGGTCGTAATTAAGTGTGTTAATTATGACCATTTTGTTCCTCAAAGTGTTGTCTTTACACACACTTGCAAGAAACATATTTTAGAACCTTCTTCTGTTTCTAAGGCCGAGGCACTTTTGAGAGACATGCGTAGTCTCCACTGTGCAAAAGTTACACGAATTGAACTTCTTGAACTCTCACTAACGTGTACGGAATTGAAACCAAATTAAAGAGAAACTTCCAACTGAATTTCCAGTTTTTATGCTGTTTCGTAGTAATCTTAAACGAACATGGCCCCTATGTGACCAGTCGTCGCGCTAACGATTTTCCTCAACTCTGCAGTTACAGATTCACACAGATCGCCGTGGATCCACAGGTGAAGACACCCGGCGGTAAGACGTACGACGTGCTGTTCATCGGCACGGACAACGGAAAGGTGATCAAGGCGGTGAACGCCGAGTCGGCGGACACTCACCTGAAGGTGAGCCCAGTGGTGATCGAGGAGATCCAGGCGTTCCCGTCTACGGTGCCGGTGCGCGGCATCAAGGTGGTTAGAGCGTCGCAGGCCGGCGACGGCCTCGAGGATGGCAGGCTGGTCGTGATCGCTGACAGCCAAGTGCAGGCCCTCAGGTTGCATCGGTGCTACAGCGATAGGATCTTGTCGTGCGGCGAGTGCGTGGCCCTGCAGGATCCGTATTGCGCCTGGGACAAAGTGGAGGGCAAGTGCCGAGCCCTGGTCGGTCCCGCGGCCACGGACGCGGTCAGGTTTCTGCAGAGCGTGGCTACCGGACTCCACGCCTCGTGCCCGCCGAGCAAAATTCTCAACAAAGACGCGAGCAGCGTCGGCGCCATCTCCGCCAACCAGAACAAATTCCCGCAGGACTCGATGATACCGAACAAGGAGGGCCAAGGTGGGGAGATCATTAATATCATGCAGAACGAGGAACAGGATAATTCAGGTATTAAATATAAGGGCAGTTTCTCGCGATTTCCAACGATTTCGGGGGTGATCCACACGAATGTAACGAGCCATTAGAAATCTTGCAGACGCGTTATTTTTGTTGTTGTTGGATTTTCGTTAATTTTTTTTTTATTTTCGTTGTTTTAAATTTTTGTTCAATTTTTGCATCGTGGACGATTGCTACGAACATGGGAAAAAAGGAAAGTAAATTTTTTTAATAATAGAGAGTTCAGAATTCGTTTTTTAATAATTTATGAAAATAGAAGTCTTCTACATAGACTCGATATATTTTTCGAATATATTTTAATATTAAAATCTCTGTTAGTAACAGTTACTACAACTACTCTAATTATTGGAGGTAATTCGCAAATGTTCAATTTACGCATATTTTTGAATACTATGAGGAATTATTGTCATATTAAAATAGTGAAGCTTCTAAGTACCGTCAGTACATGGAGCTTTATTTCGCACGCATGCAAAATGAATCTTTTCATCGTTCTACATATATAAAAAGTACTAGAAACAAAAAAAGGTTTCTATTTTAAAAAATTTTCATTTTAAAGGTTTTCACTTTTTTTTTTTTTTTTAAAGAAATATGGCTCGTTACAGTTATTTGAATCACTCCGTTTATAAAGCAGAGTGTATTTGATCTCGACACAATTTTATGGTTCTTTATTAGGTCCGGAAGTATCGGCGGCAGATTCCCCACCGCCCCAGTATTCTGTAGAGACGCTGGTGATGGCCGTGGTAGCTGGCGCGTTGGCGGCTCTGTTGGTCGGCTTTGTCGCGGGCTACTTGTGCGGTAGGAAATGTAGGAAAGACGAGGACGATAATCTACCGTATCCGGACACGGAGTACGAGTACTTTGAGCAGCGACAAAACGTAAACAGGTAAGAGTTTTCGAAGATCCACTAGAACTCAAAGTTAGACCAAAGAGGACACTAGACTACGTTTAAACCGAAAAGAATTTTCGTTCTCGCCCCCTCACATCGAGCAAATTCTCGCTTATTAACAAATAAATATTAACGACAAACGATCACAAACATCATTCGAAGAACCTTGTTTTCTCGACATTGCAGCAGGTTAGCGCCAGAGCCGAAACTACTGCCCCAGGAGGAGGTGACATACGCGGAACCGGTGCTGGTGCCGCAGCCTCCGAAGCTCCACTCGCCGAAAGGGACGATGAGAAAGCCGCCGCCGACCCCCACGGAAACGCTGTTCCAGTTCCCGGACGGGTACGGCTTCCGCGGCCCGAGGGACAACTTCGGCACCCTACGATCGCACCAGGGCGACGCGTATCGACGCAACGACGGGTTCGCGACTACCCGCAGCGTGAAGAAGGTCTATCTCTGAGAAACGAGCGAGGAGGGAGGTGGCCGTCACCGGAGCTTAGGACGGCCAGCGCGCAATCGGCACAACGCGACCACAGCGGCCAGGAGTAGTCGCGCTGTGACGTCCGGGGGACAGTCGAACCGGGAGCTCGCAGGCCCGAGGGCGCTCGAATCGCCCTCGCCACCCTCGAGCGTCTCGTCCAGTTCCCCGTCTCCTCCCTCCTCGTCACCTTCGCCGACCCTCGTACCGATCGCCATGAGCGGCAGCGGTTCGCCACCACCGCCGACGCCGCCCTGCAGCTACATCTATCGATCATAGTCGTCGTCGTCGTCGGCGTCGGCCTCCTCGCCGCCGCCGTCGTACTCTGCTTCTTGTTACGCGACGCCGGCAGCCGGCACCCCGTTCTACACTCCGGCTGCGCGTTCCGATCCTGTATAGTGTAGAGGCGTGTGACCGCTTACCACTAACTTTCCCCTGTTTTCTGTTCCCCTTTTGTTGCGCGTTCTTTTCCGCAATTTTTTCCCCCTCCCCCGCTCCTTTTTCACTTGATCCTCGTCCTCGGTTGCCTTTCCATCAAATCGTCGGAACACAGCCGGGAAAAAACGCGCGTCGATCGAGCGAGTTCACGCGCCTCCGGTCCCGTTGGACAACGACGTACGTGATTCCTCTCCGGAGAAATGGACTGCTGTTCCATAACCATAAGGTTTGGAGAGAAAATTCAAAGAAAGAAAAAGGGAAACGCCGACCGCCGGTCGAGATCTCAGGCTCGATCGGTTGCAAGGCAGTTGTAGGCCCTTGAAACGAAACTGCGTCGCGATCTCCGCCGTTTTTATCGATCGTGGCGTGTATAGCGCGATACGGCAAACCACGCGTAGTATTACGGCTTCAAGGTTACTTCTCGTGAAGTCAATTAAAAGAGACTATCGTCGGACTCGACTTGCGATTTTTCTAATGTTGTAATATTTAAACGCGAGTGATTGACAGTGCCATTATTGTTCGCGTAATACTACCGCGTGCGTCCGAACTAAATGCCGAGCCCCGGTGCTCGCGTTATTTCTTTCATTCGCCCGAGCCTTCTCGATGAAAAAAAAGAGAGGCGGACAATCTCTGTGGATCTCGGTCGGTCGTCGACCACGGAATCAACGCCAGAAGAAAAAACGAGAGATGCGTGCGCATACGTACGCATACATATATACATACACATACACCGTGCGTTGGACTTTGATCACCGGGCACCGCCGTGCCATAAAACGTTCGATCTCGTAAAATCGCGGAGATCGTCACGTCGTCTTTACGACGCGCGTTCGTTAATCAAGCGGAGGCTCCGCTGAAGCGCCAGCTAGTTCGGCGAGATGGAGATTCCCACGGCCGATTCCTAATTTTCGTCGTACGTTTCCGAAACGCGCGTTTCACAACCTGCACATATACGTAATACGTAGAGAGCAAAAACGAGGTAGAGAAAGAGAGAGAGAGAGAGAGA